GCAATAATATTTTATCTACGCAAATGTGTAGATTTGTAGACGATATTGCTGACTGGTAAAAAAATAAAACAATATTTTGTAGACAGTAGGTCTATATAAATACATATATATAATAACATGGTTTGTTAACAAAAATAAAAATGTATGTTAGTGTTGCTGAAAGGTTTCATAAAATCGATTTTATGAAAAATTAAAAATGTTATAGCCCAGCACTACAGGTTTTTCGATCGGTTATAATTTATAATAAACTAAGATATTTATTAATTTATCAATTTATTTTGTTTTATTTTGTATATTTGGTTATATAATTATTACTGTCGTTATTCTCCCCCCCCCTCACAAAAAAAGTTGAATTTGGTTCGGTTTAAAAAAACTCGAAATCTTCAAGTTGTGAGTACATATATAAATTAATTTAGGTATAATAAAATAAATTGAAATTCTAATAAAACTTTAAATTATAATTAGGTACAAGGTACACCTATGGAAATTAATTAATACATTCCTATAATAGTATAATATGTTATGCACTGATAATAAATGATAATAATAATAATTATAATTTAAATAGAAAACTACGAACTAAAATTCATGCACACAAAGTATATATTGGCGATATTATATTATTGGTACACCTATGGAAATTAATTAATACATTCCTATAATAGTATAATATGTTATGCACTGATAATAAATGATAATAATAATAATTATAATTTAAATAGAAAACTACGAACTAAAATTCATGCACACAAAGTATATATTGGCGATATTATATTATTTATTAGTTATTACGTCATATACACTCATGCTCAAATAAAAACAAAGTCATACAATAAGAATTCAAAATTCAAATATTATGAATAGAAATAATAATACTGATTACCTAAAATATTTCTCACTAATAAGTATTAGGTATAACTAATATTAAGATATTAGTATATTACTAAATTATGAGATAATAATATTATGTCATGTAGTCACGTCGAGGTCACCAAAATGTATCTACAAGTGTTACTCGTATGCGCCGGTCACTAACTGTTTGAGCAGCAAATCTTGAAAAGGAGCAGTGGCCAGAGGGTTCTGTACCCTCTAGTTATTCATTTTTGAGATACATCTAAAAACAAATTCAATTTTGTCGAATACTTTAATTTTGAGTGAAAATTCCAAGTTTCTCCATAATTGTATTTGTTGTTTTTGTTGTTATATTAAAAAGTACTGGCCATTTTTCCTTTTGACAGAGTAATTTCCACTATAGACCCGATTTGGTACAAGAAAACAGCCCAAAGTTGAAAATCTAAGTTTTTAAATTTTTTTCGTCTTTGGTTCACGTGTATCACAGACATAAACAAAAAGAAAACGGACACATCGTTGTAAAATAAATGACATCATATGCGCTTATAATATATAATAATGGACGAAACGATGTCGTGTAAAAGTTTGTTTCGGTTACAATACATATTCGACGTCAGGTCGGTCGTCGGCGTCATTTCTTAACGCTATTGCGAAGTGTAGTAGGTGTAGGGACCGATTTCGAGTGAAAACTGCATTTTATGGACCTACGTCTATCAAAAAACGTTTACTACACGATCCGGGTACAGACGGCGTGTACAAATGACGACAGAACCGACACCAGTAGGTAGCCTCCGTCAATTAATTTTATTCAAAAAATGTTATTAAATAATTGTCTTGGATTCCATATATGGATATTATGTAGTGTCTCTTCAACTGTCCACTGTCCAGACTCCAGAACATTGTTCTTACAACTCACCATGACAATTTATAAAACTAAAATTGGGTACATGTCTACACTCTTCATATAAGGTAAATACAATATTTCATAAGTTTTTTTCAAACAAACATTCGAAAACTTTATACATGCAACTATATGACTTGTATTTTGATTAAAATATTTATTATAACAATTGTTTTATCCAGTTCAGTATGAAATATGAGCCATATACCGTGGACATAACTGATAGCTTATATTTACTTGACTAAGGGAAATATATATGCTATAGTACATATAGAAATCCTAGCCCTAGTTATGACCACGGTTATCTATGCTAATAGTCGGGATATGACTTAACAGTGGCCTGGGGGTTCCTCGAACCCCCCTCCCCTCTCAGCACCCCCGGTATATTGTGGCACTGCATACCAGTCATGTGTGCGTCTCTTTGGTCGTTTTTGTTCAACGCATGACCTGAAAAACTGATGGCGGCATTGATCATTCCTATATAGTTCGATAGAGAATAAAACGTTATGCAACACATTAACCTTTGCGTGGACAATGAGTAAAATATTAAAACGTAATTAGTTTTTATGATGCTGTGTTTATTTTGTGGTTCATCCTTTTCGTATTATAAACGCGAATACAATTTACATTACTGCCCCATACGCCTAAATCTATTGATCACATTATTAAAAATGCTATACATCGATTTTAAAGAGTGAAAATGTGAAACACATTGAAGGCTTAAACATTATAATAGAACAAGGATTTTAATATTAAACACATAATAGGCAAATTTCGAGTATGCTCTAACAGACCTCGGAAGCGTTCTTCAATAGTTCAATATTTGATTATTTATTATAACATGGATTATACCCTACACGGATCATATTATTTTACAGTAACTACCTATCAGTATTCCCTAATTATTTATAGTTTACACTTAACATCGTATAAATGTCATGCATATTTATAGTACCTATATATATTATGTGTATTACAATATTGCATTACATAGATAGTATACATTATTGTTTTAAATTTAGATAATTTTTATAATTTATTACAAATTTAGTTATGAAGTTTATTCACTAAAATGAGAAAGTGTTGTTACAACAAAAGGCGATTACGTCTTTTAAGTTATAGTGAGATATATTTTGATAAAATACAATATTGTTGTTGATTTAGTCCAGGGCTCGAAAACGTTTACATAACGTTATGATTATAACTTTATACTAGTAAAAAGACGATTGAAATAGATAACAGAAAGTCAGAAAACTAAACGGTAAATGGTAAACTGTAATATTAAGTTATCATTAAACATAACGTAGCAATAAACAACAATTTTAGTAAAACAAAAAACAAAACAAAACGATAAACCAATAATTTAAAAAATCATAAAACGAAACATAACAGAAAACACTAAAAATNTCGTGGAATGTTTTTTTTTTTTAAAAAAACGGACTATAACTTTGTAAGTTATTACGAAAAGAAGGATAAACACCGAGACACGATGTTTCATTATCAACGGTCGTGACAGAACTGCTTATGGTATTCTATGGTTTATTTTTAAATTTGTGCCCGTTTATGTTGTGTGGATATGCAGGCCTTGATGTAACATGTTTATTTGTACTCGGAAATCATTGTCAATCGAAAGTCGCCAATTTAAAAATATAATGGAAAATAAATGTTAAAAATAACAGAAAATGTTACTTCACATTTCAGGAACCAATCGGAATAATAGTTAGAATCATAATTCATAGCTATAAAAGTATCAACTACAAACAACTAAGATTATGAGTAAGATATACCCATGCTATTATTCCACTTGGAGCAACATTATTTTTTTTGTTGATTATATTTATTATGATATCTAGCTTTTTTTATACATAGTTATTGATTAACATACAGTGTACAGGATTTTAAGCTTTCCTTTTTTTTAAAAAAAAACGGTACTTAGACTATAATTACTTAGATACACAGTATTTTACCAAAACAGTATCAATCATATGTATCAATTTTATCAAAGTTACACAGCTTAAGTTTTGCGTCATTTTTCCTGTTAGATATCAAAATAACTTTTAAGCCTAAGGAGAAAGTGATTTCTTATGTTATAATTTAAAATATAAAAATATGGGCATTTCTATGTCTGAATAGAAAATTGAATAATTTTTGTCTTCCTTTTTTAGTTTAGAGTGCCCTACATGGTTACATCGCACATATATTGTTTTTGAGAATCTACGTAGATAACAAAATTACATGCAGTACTTAAAAATTTGAATTTAGTGGATCAAACAGCTGTAATGTGTACAATTTGGTATATATTTCTGGTTTTATGTTTAAATTAAATTAATATTAAACGTCGGCAATAGACGTAATATTGAAAATTTATATTTAATATTATAAATATAAATTTAATATAATTTATAATATTATTTTAATTGTTAAAATGTAATAGGTACTACATCATGTTTTAATTTTTAATGGTGTTAAACATTTGAATGTAAAAATGAAAACGTTTAAATTTCCAATAACGATAAACCATAAACGTAAAAAAATAATAACGTTTAAATTTCCAATAACAATTAACATAAAAATATAATAACGTTTATACTGTCAATAACAATAAACATAAAAAATTTATAACGTTTAACACCAAAAATTGTTTAACGGTTTGATACTAAATAAAGTAAAACGAAATTTTTTTTCTAAATTCGAGCCCCCGTGATTTACTGCTTCATTAAAAAATTAATTTAAATCACGATTATTCAACATTTAAATGCAATTTATTTTTAAAATTATAATTTATAAATAAACTACTGTTTTCCTAGAAGTTGGTGTAATTTTGATTTCTGAAACGATCATAATTTTATTTCGATCTCATTAAATCAAGAATTTATTTAGGACTACTTATTATTATCCTTTAGTACAGAATATGCAAGCATTGAAAATATAAATAGTTGGCACTAGAAAAAGTTAGTAGCCAATAGGTATTAAAAATCAACTGCACAAATAATTAAATAATTCCGGATTTTAAGGATTACTTATTACTTATTAGTAATTACTATAGGAGTAATATTTGAATTTGACTCTTGACTTTTATTTAATCTCCATATTATTTTGTCCTTATTTGGCATGATAAAGTTCCATTGTTCTAATTTTGACGATAAGTTTACATTAAAAAGTTTTTACCTACACATGCATTATTCATATGCTTCAATTACATAATGAAAAACGTAGAATATTATAACAGTCACAATGCCCGATTAAACTAAAGTTCTTCATTTTCTTTTTATTTATTTCGAAATAAATTTCAATAGATTCACTATTCTAGTTATAATGATAACCTTGAATATATACTTATTTTATAATTATTAATATTTTAGTTTTTACAATAAATGAATGTTGTGTAGAGTGGATAGGTGATTGATGAGGCTTGAACGAAGAATCCATCCATTGATATTTGATGAGACTTCGTGACGTGTGGCTTTATTTATTTATTCATCCAGCAGGTCGTGGCACCATTTACGTTTCTCGTTTTCTTTTCTTCCGGGGTCACCTGGGAATTTAAGTCCTTGAATATTTAAATTAAATTCTTTAAAAGATAGAAGAAATCAGTCATACACAACGTTTCTATACTATAATATACTTAATAAAATCATTGATGACACATTATATGCTCACTGGACAATATTTTGCTATATCTTGGTGATTATTTTCATTTCTGTACGCGATATGTCTTTTTCTTTTTTTATATTTATTATTCAATCATGGGGAGCACCATTTCAGTTTTAAAATAGAGCAAACAAATTTTTCAGTGGTCCATACTTTTCCACTTCCAGGTCACCGGAGAGATATTGAAATGCATTGGCGTCATTACGACTTTTACATATTATAATACAAAATTAATGTATTAAAATCCAACCATTATGCATAATTGTAGCTATTTGATTTCCTCGTGAGCTTCTTACTGTTTTTAATAGTTATAATAGTTTTTTATGATAAATATTAGACGCTTCATTTTTGTGATTACATCGACCATAATACCATATGGCATATACGAACCCACAAAGAAATAATATGTAATTTTAAAATTACCTACCAATAGACAATATTTTTTTATAAAATGTTTGTTATTTATTTTATTGGGTTTATCGTGGGTTTTGATTCTATACTGACACGGTGATAACTGACTGCTTATAATTATCAATTCAGGCCCAACATATATTCTGCATCTGTGATATCCTCAAATAGTGTCTACAAAGTTACATATGTGACATTATTTTTTTTGTATTTTCTTAACTTATTTATGTATATATTAACAATTCAGTATTAAATTGCAGCTTTCAAAATATGTTTTATACATAACTTCTTAATAATATCATCTCGTATATTTATTATCTTGATCGTTGTGTATTAGTAATATCGTTTTTTATTGTCAGTTATAAATAAATACGTATATAACTATCACTATATAAAACTTAAGTTAGAACTTAGGTTTAGATGGTTAGGTGTTACCTACCTAAGGTTTACCATTTAGTTCAATTAACTTAAAAAAAATAAACTAGATTACTATGTCTTTTTTCCGAGTGACATCACTGCATGGAGGCGATCTACTGCATTAGTCTCCGATTACTATATCTAATATTAACTATTGTAACTGGTAAGTGGTGAATTAATTTACATACAACGATAATAATTAATGATTATAAAATTAGTTTTATTGAAACAATACAAATGTATTAAAATTATTAAAAATTCTATAAACAAATGTGCAACTTCTGCAATTTATTTATTTAATTTCCATGTTACTCCTGCATAGACTTTTGCAGACACGTAGAAAATAGCAAGTGTTTCGCTTTTTTCCGCCGAAAATGCTATTTATTATTATAGTTATGTTGTAAACGTTTTTATTTAACTATTAATATAGCTGGCCCTGACCAACCATATCGTTTACTAAACTGTTTCCTATGTTTTTATTATATAATATATAGTCGACTCTGTCCGTGTTAAAATTATGAATCTATCTATGTAGGTATTGTAAACAAAAAATAAATAAATCACAAATTAACATTGGAATTTACTTTATTTATATCAAGTTTCTATGACAGTTACCAAGTATATAATACAACAAGTATATAGAAAATTGTATCCAATCATAAGAACTATTTAATTTTCTGTAACCAAAGGCAACTCCATAAATATATTTAAAAAACATTAAATTTCCGTGAGTCGAAACAAAATGTATGTGTGAGCCAAAATTTAGGGACGAAAAGTAGCTTACAATTCGTCAGAGACCCCAAACAATAAGTGTGCAAAATTTGGTGTCGATTGGTCAAAAACTGCGGCTTTTCATTAGATAGACATTTGTTTTTGTATATTGACTTGTTGTCGATGCGTAGGTAGATAATTGAATCGAATATAAAAAAAAAATTGCCAACTTAAATCAAAATCAATCTGTTTACAATGTATAAATTCCAATGCGTTTTGTTGTCATAGCCCTGCAGTCAGATCGTCCACCGAGTGGTTATGAAAGTAGGAACAACTCAATGAACTCTGTAATATAATATACAATTTACAATGTCACGGGTTTCGCCGACCGTGAAACCTCGCCGCCAACTCGAAAACGTACATATTATTTATACGATCGCAACTTTGAGAAATAATAATAATTAATATTTTTCTATTTCATTTTAATACCTACAATATTATTATAAATGATAATAATAACGCACTCGGTGCAGTAATCGTTACACGAGATTGTGAAACAAAAATAGTAGAAACAACGAAAACTGGAGCGGACGCGTCACATTCAGCGCAAGCGGTTTAGTTAGTTTTAACGAGTTTATAGCTAATGACGCAGTGCTAGAGTTACATTACCTAGTAAATTATTATTATTATTATTATTATTATTATTATTAGTTTGTATTGCAGGTACATGCCATATTGTCTTAGGTACTTCGCGAATCGCTGAAGTTATACAGGATCGCGCGATGATATTGTGGTCAATAACTTAGTATTTAGATCGATTTATATAGGTATAGATCCCATAAAAATGTATTACATTATGATTATAATATATGAAAATAAAAACACTAAAATAAACCTTTTTAATTTATGCATAATATATATATAAATATATATATGTTAGAGACGAGTTTGAGAAAGTAACTAGGTAACTGTTTGTTTGAATTTATATGCCATCTGCGCGTTAAATATTATTTAATGATATAATAAGAAATCGCGTCATCTTAAAGACAACATATTATTAATACCTGTTCATTTTGTATTAGATACTTACCACATATTTACATTTTATAGCAGATATAACTAACTATATAAACCTAACCTCTCTCTATATATATATATCTACAATATAATATAGATCTCACATCGACTATAGAACTTAATCGATAGAATATCTTAGCTGATGTTCTTTATTTATTATGTTATTACTTTTATTTCGTCCATCACGGAAGCTTCAAAAACTCATTTTCATTTTTTATGTCTTTATTTTTTGTTTTTTCCATCGTAAACTGTAACATTTTAATTTGTTTCCAGTCTAGTAATTTAGGTATACTTACTAAAAAATATAAAAATATAAAAATGTAAAATATTTGTATGTTTGTATTTATGTATAGAAAAGTAATATTCTCGCAGCAGTGATTTTATTTTTATAAACATTGTTTAATTTTGCGTTGAAAATCGTATGGTTTGATCAATCGTCAAACGATATTATGAATCATAATTATGATAATTACTATCATAGCTTATGAGTTATGATTAAAATATAATTATACTACTATGGTATATTTTTATTCGGATTAGACTTTTCCTGAACTAATCATTAAGTAAAATGAAAATTTTAAGGAGTGAGTCTTTCTATGACACAATCCCTGCATTTCATTATTATTATTTGGTAATTACTAATTAGTTTATTTAATCGTATACTAGAAATTAGAAGTATACTCTTACTCTACTAACTACATGCACAATATTGGAGGTAAATGTCAGTTAGTAATTTTAAATTCACAAATAAAATATTTTATGTTTTTTTCCTTCACATATTATTAATTTTAAACGAAATATGCTTAAATATCTACAATAATATAAGAAAAATAGGTTAATGTGTCCAAAAAAAAAAGTATATAGTATATAAAACAGCTATGTGGACTAATAACGGCTTTATTAAGTAGGCACCCAACCTATATATTTGATTATATATTTATATACTTCTATATCAACTATTGACAAATCGATGAACATTTAATTTTGAATACGAAATCGTATTACTTAATAAACATGGGCCGTACCTTCATATACGAATACGTATTTAACATAAATTTGAATACGTTAATAATTTATGATATATAAATGTAATTAAGTATCAGAAACTGAAAATAATAAAAAAACACGTGAAAATCTAGAATCTAAAAAATGCTTATTAATAATTTAATTATCGTTATAATAAATCTAGGTAGTTATGAGGAAAAGCAAACTCTACGAGCATGTCTGTTAGTACTTCCTGGTTTTTATACGCAATTAATGAGTATGAAATATTGAAATATACCCAATTATTAATGTCATATTATTATCATATTATAACGTGTTGGCATATTGCCTAATTAAATTCAATGTGTTCGAAATTATATTTCTAAGACGACAATCGCAAATGAACAACGCATGTGCAATACAAACTTTAATTATTATTTAGATAATAAATAAATTAATCAAATAATATAAATATTCAAAAATAACTTATAAAATATCGTATATGACGTGCTGTTAGAGACTAGACACTAGAGGATATTAAATATTTGTGTAAAGTCTAACTACTATCTAAACGGGAAAGATGACGTTTTGAATGGTATGTAATGTTTTAGCACCCCTCTTAATATTAGATACTGGAGACTCCTAGTTTCAGACCCCACAACCCTATATTTATTTTATGCACCCCCTAGTCAGCGATGATTTGTTAATTTCAAAACACAAGTTATCAGTATGATGAGAGTGGGTCTAAACTGTCCGGACTCTCAGACTCATATCCGCATATCCACGGTGAGTGGGCGCGGGAACGTAATGTATAACTAATAAATAATAATATTATTAGTGTAAAATGGACAAAACGAGTCGACGCATGCGGACGCGTCGGTGCAGCAGCAACAGCAGCCGATTAGTAATAATAATAATAATAATAATAATAATAATATGTAACTAGACTTGTCCGTTTCCTAGTTCCTTAGACATCCTTGAATCGCGTTGTTGCGTTTTATCTCGTCGGAATAACGACAAATTGTTAGAATAATAATATGGTTATGCATACAGTATTATGGCAATGCCGAGCGAGATTTCTTCACATTCGAAAGAGAAAAAAAAAATGACGTGTTTATTAATAGTAATACTGTATCCCGACACGTGTATATAGGTACCTACAACATACATGGCCCCGTAAACGTTTGTGACACGGTGTATTGTTCGTTAGAAAACAACACCCAATGTGTACCTATATGCCTAGGTCCTATACACATTGTACCGATACTACATGTCGTGTATTTATAATAATAATAATAATATCTGTATTATAATATATGCCGCGTGTTTACATATTTTTATACGCGAATAGTTTGAAATATTTTGAAACCGTTTTGGCCATAAAATTCGTTCAAGGTGACGATCATAAATTAAATCCGTTGTGTACAACTACAGTGTAAAGAAATAGAAATCAAATGCAATAACAAACGTTGTAGAAACTATGCCAATTCAGACATAGTGTGACCATTAATTCCAGTTTTCCATGACTTACATAAAGATGTTCGTTAAGGATGGTTGAAGAATGGCACAATTATTTAAAATTATTAATTAAACATATTTCGTTTTCGCTCCAAATGTTGCAGAATATAAAATGAATCCTCACAGTACCCCGCTCCCTCCCCCCCCAAAAAAAATCAACGGTTATCACTCATTAGCAGTCCACTCAATATGATAAGACAAAAAATTGTGAATTGTCTTTTACAAAAATATAATCGCAACGAGACCAAACCACATTTTGTGACTATAATATATTATAAATATTTTGTTGTATAAATAACTACTCTGTACAAGCTTTCCAGAAGTGACTCAAAATAGTGGTCAATTTTTCAAATTATGAAGCTACCTACAAATATGTTGAATACAAAGTTACAGGGGCTAGACTGCTGGAGTACTCCTTTTCCTCCCAAAAAACACATTAAATTCTTAATATATTAATATTCTTAATTTTGTCAATATAATAAATACAATATACCTGTTAATAATTGATTGATTTATTTATTATTAATATTTAGAGTCTACTACCATAAATTCATAATTTCTAAATTGCTATAAAATGTATCCTTGTACATAGTTGAAAAAAAGACAGTAAACATGCAAAAAAAACTATAACATTTTCGCAGTTAATTTTTTCCGTCAAGAAATGTCCCACTTTTACTAAGAAAATATCCTATTCAATAATTGTCCATGGATATTTGGGATAATAATCATGTGGGGAAATATAACAGCTATTTTGTCATTCTTTTGTCATTTTGGGGGATTTGGAATACTTAAAAAAAAAAATTTTTGGGGGGGGGGACTCCTCAAACCCTCTTTTCGGATTTCCACCAATGCATATACTTTTATTGTGTACGTATAGACGTATAGTATACGTCTATAATAAGGAGGGCTTACAATAACGTATTATACATGATAAATAGATCCGTTCAACTAAAGTTTAGAGGAACTCGTAAAAATGTAACGATGAAACTACCTAGACTATAAATATTATGTAGTATATATCGTATATATTATTTTAATATCCACTTTATATTAAGTACCATATTATACCGTAAGCATAATATACAATAGTATACACAATATTGTACGTACGGATTTCTTGTTTTGATCAAACTGGGTTGGAAGTGATTGCCACACGTTTTTTGTACATCAGAAATGCCCACATATTTTTCTTCTTTCATACCAGACACCCAACACCGTTATACATCATAATATAAAAATGCAACTGGTATTATGAAAAAATAAACATATATTTCTTATTTTAGTTAGTTTGTACTGTTTACAATAAGTACTGTACGGAGAATAAATTATATTTTATCATTTTACCATATAGCACATGTAATAATAATATGATTATGATGAAAAAGCAGAGGAATGTGTACATATTATACACAGGTAGTTGAAGTGAGTGTTGCCTATATACTTGTTAATGCGGTTTTCGTATAGATTTCTGGTCCGGCGGGAATCCAATGAACTTTCATGTATTTTACATTTTTTTTTCATTTCATTAAAGCGATCGAGATGACACGTACCAGGGTACCTGTTGCCAAATAACAGAAAAAATGTATATATATATATATATATATAGTATAACCAGTGCGGTAGTGTACCCATATATCATATAGTATATAATATGTTTATGACTTAGCACTTTATTATAATGATGTGGTACAAAACGGTAATAAGTTACGACTAGTAATAATAATAGTTAAAAAAAATGGTGATATAAATGTTAAAAACATTAAGTACCCAATTACGACCAAACATTTACATATAAGTTTACAATTCACAGATATTTAAAAAAAAATCAAGTTTTCGTTCAGATAAAAATCGATTTTTAAATAGTTATGATTAATAATATTGCGTAGGTATTCGGTCACTATATGGTCAACATATTTAACAGTTTTTACTCTGAACCTGTGAATTACAATATCACACTATCTGCTGCAAGCAAAAATATTGATCCAATTAGGCATAACTTGTCAAGAGCACGACAATGTTCTACCAGAAGAGGAGCTGTATTTTTGTTGATACGCCTATATTTGAAATTACACTGCAACTAACGTATGATATTATCGATCTTTTTTTAAAAAAAAATGTATGTCGTAAAACTTGTACTCTTTTCCGCTACATATACCGACACTGTTATTAGTTTATTATGAGCAGTGAGTAGTTGCGTGCATTACAGACCTAAAAGGCTAAAAATATAGTGATGAATACATATACTATGGCCAATGATACACCACACACGTAATCCGGGAGTAAAGAGATTTTAATGCTCGCACTCTTTTTATTGTTGTTTGTTTGGTTTCACGTCATATTAACACGTTAAATACATTTTGCCAAAATTGTGAAACGACTTACGTTTTAGCCGTTTTAGGGTTTTGACGATTGAATCCTCGAGGGATGTAAAAATATATCATTCGATTTTTATAATACGTATAAGAAATATAAAATGTTTTTATCATTTATACATTATAAATATGGCGGCAGTGGTAATATACTGTGTCGAATACTCGAATGTCGATAAGATGAACGAGTAGAGATGTTTGATTATTTTATAGCAGTTGAAGGGGTCGACGATACGGATACGCGTTAAGATATGCATCTAAAAATATATATTAAAAAAAACTTTAAAAAGTTTTAACGGTTTAATCGCGGAATTATATCATAACTTTTTTCATATACATAGTTAATACTCTAAAACATGAAATCACGGTGGTCCTCACCCTATTTACATATTTTTTGTATCGCTGTGTTTTTTTCTTTGACTATCTATAGTGTACAGAGAAATAGAGGATGGGGTGTTTGAGTGTGTTTGTGTGTATGAGAGAGAATGTGATCTCTATACATATACGTAAATATGGTATATTTAGGACTACTTTCGTTAAAGGTATCAAATAAATTTCAATTGTTTACATAGGTACTCACGTATAGAAAACACAAGTAATTAAATAATTAGAGTTGATAATATTATGTTAATTATTAAAATTTACGTGGTTATTGTTTGTGGAAGTTTTTAACAACATCATAAAACTAATTTAATTATTATTTTTGAATTATTAAATTTTAATTATTTCTGTTTTTATCTCCTCAATATATGTATAAGTATATAATATTATATAACGTAGGTATATAATATTCGATATTTCGAGAAACTTTTCACTTGAAAATCTCCATCAACTAAAAGTGAAAATAAAATAAAAGTTTTAAAGGTTTCGATTTCCACCGAAGGCTTTTGTCTTCAACTTCCCAAAAGGGAGTTCTATTATCGTCTCATCATTTTATTTTAACGGGCGCCAAGTATAAATGTCACTACAGAACAATAATGTGATTTACGATTTCAGTAGGATGACGAGAAGGGTCTTATACATATAAATTATATACACTATACATATACCAAGTTGAAATATCGCGCGGAACCCATAAAAGGCAAACGGACAAATGCCACCCTCCGGTGGTCCGCGCATTTTTTTCCCTGTAGTTAAAGGGTGGGAAAATCGTAAAATTTTCTCCAAAAGACCTCCAAAATAATAGCTTTATATTTTACGAGCATTCACTGGTGTGTGGATGCTGCTCCGAGTTTTTAGGATAAGGAATGAAAACTGAAATAGTAATAAAACTGCTACCGGGTTATAAAAATACCAACACCTAAGTACGAAATAAATAAACCTGTTTATACATTCTCGAAACGTATAGACGATAAGTATAAAATCGTTCAAGTATTGAAATCGTACTAACAGATAAAAATCGACATAATATTCATTTAAGGTGAAGACATAAAGTGCATTTTCCGCCTTCAACAAAGGGTTGAAAAAGTCACGACTTTAGTCATGAATCATCTACAGAATTTGTTAATCTAAAAACATTGTCTGATAAAGTTTTGTTCGAAATTTCATTGTGTATTATTGATAGGTTGTGGTGTCTATATCTATTTAACTGAAGTTTTAATTAGTGCACGATTAATATTTAATAAAGTATAAACTTTCTTTGGAAGTTTCTTTTGTAAAATATCATAACAATTCTAACATTATAATATTATATAAATACAGCGATTGTTTTTTCACCTACCACTTTATATTTTTAACAGATAAACTGCTATATTTTTTTCCATAAACGTATAATGTGAAGCAGAATACTTTTAATGTCAGATATATCTACTTATAATTTTGATGTATAAATACTGCAGATTATTGAACGATTAGTTATTTTTATTATGAATAACTAATAATCATTACATTTTAAATAAAATAAATTAAGTGGGAAGGGGCATGCCACAAAACCCATGGTGCATCTCTCCGTTTATCTGAACTTTCAAATAATTATCAACAAAAAAAACTACCTATTTGTTCAATATTTATATATTATCAATATTTGTGTAAGAGTGTTCTGATAGCAAAATCAAAAATATAAGATGTTAATGACTTATATAGTGATCACACCAACCAATGGCACAGGGGAATAAAAATAAAATTGAAATGTTGGAATTACAAGTAGCTTAAAATTTTAAACAAAAACCTTCAAAAAACAAATTTTTTTTAAAAGTAGTATTTTTAATGGTCAATAAATTAGTTAACTGTAAATGTGTATTTAGGTATTGTTAAAATAATGATTGTGTATTTAATATTATTGATGGTGGGAGGGGGAGGAGCTCCTGTGTTTTCCTTACTTTATCATAACGCTACGATAACATACTTATACACGCCGTATTATACACGACGCGGGCATCGCCCAATTGTGCCAAAACAAATAAATTCGTTTCCCCACGACGCATATTCTATATTAATTTATTTAAAAAAATATTTTAAACGACTATCAACATTTAACCTTGTTAACACAAAATTTAGTTTGGTAATACCTAAATTTATTAGGTACGTACTTAGATAATCACTACAAATAAGTGGTAAAACAAATAGTAAAAGTACCTATGTACGTTACCTATTATAATAATGTGAACAATTCAAAAATGTGTGCATTATTCATATTTTATGAGCTACATTTTAGTCATTTATGAACTAATAATTTAAAAATGATTATCTTTTGATATAGTAGTAACTATAAATTAATATACTGTTTTATATCGTATAGTATGGTATCTACCTTAAATTTTTACTTACCAAAAACTTTTTTGGGTGCTTACCATAATTTTAGTTCTCTAGCTACTGTTGATTGATTAATAACAATAAATATTAAACTAATATGTACTAAGTGTATTGCTGACGATCATCAAGTATTTTAATACGTTATATATTGTTATGTCGTTTAATGTTTTACGTCACCCCACAAACTTCAAATTAATTGTGTTCTATATTGACCGCAACAATTCTTATTTTAGTTGACGGTCTAAAGCAAATCTGTTACGTATCACTTCGAGGTTGAAGGACACAACACAAACTAAAATAATATAACATCTAATATGAAGTTGTTGTGGGTCTTGGTGGATATTTACAAGCTATCACGATACTTAGCTATTATAGAATTGTATCACCGTTATAATAATATGTCGTTAATCTTAATAACTCAAGTCACAGATACTTTCCCGTAATAAAATGAAATAAAAATCAAACATAATTAAGAGCAAGTATAACAGATAGGTATGTCATATTACTCAAATTTCCCGGCAGGTAGCCTACCGCACGTCAAAATTTTTTAGGTAGGTATCATTTTACCGTAAGTAGTATACTACACGCGAGTACCAATATGTAGGTATGAATTTACAACACAATATATACGAATTGTATAAACTATAAATACTTTATAGGTTAGGTATTTACCTAAACAATATTTGATACTTATATCAAATACTACAAATTACATTCAAGGGTACATAAAAATATACATATTTATAATTATTTTTAATACACGTCATATTTTTTTATAAAATGTAATATTTTTTTTGTACTTCGAGACGCCGCAGACCTCTGAAATGAGTGTCGCTGTCGCAAACCCACTGGGGGGCCACGGACTAAAGTTTAAGAAACCGCTGCTATAGAGTATGAACTGAGTTATGTACTTATGTTATGTTGCATATACAAATTATGTTATTAATATACTAAGTCTGGAATGTTTGTTGGGAAATACAAAATTATTGTTTTATTGTTACCTGTTGGTCTACTTCATTACATACAGTATAAACAAGTTCAATTTTCTTTGTACACTATTTAATTAAATATCTTTACTTTAACATGATTATGCAACACGATAAAAAATTTTATTAGAATACAACTGAATACTAATGAAATAAATACTAAATAAAATACTATAAAAATCATTTAAAATAAATACTGGAATACGTATGAAAAAAAGTATTCCAAGTACTTTTAAAATACTTTTTAATTTTGTTTTAAATATTAAACCAATTAGACAATAATAGTTGAATTTCTCTTTATTTCATTATAACACTCATTAATAATTTAATAATTCTATATATAATATAATTTATAGCCATAAATTGTAATCTATCCTTATCATGTTAATAATTGCATAACGATTTAATGTATATTTGTTTATATTAATTTAATGTAGCCATGTAGGCTAAAAATCTTTGTTGTTGAAGACTTAATAAATTAAAAAAAAAAAAATATATATATAATTTAAGTTGTTGATACTTGATTTAAAATGAGTATAATATTGTAAAAATGTCTAGAAAAACAAGGAAAGTAAATAAAAATTAGTAATTATGTTTTTTTTATAATAATAAAATACCTTTAAAAAGTGTTTTAAATAGTTATTCAGAATACTTTTGGGAAAAGTATTCCGAATACTGTATTAGGAATATAAGCCAAGAGTCAAAAATGCTGAATATCATTAAAGTACACCTTTGAATGGCATACTTAAATACAATGAACAATCAACATAATATTAGATTATACAAATCAAGATTTAGTTTTCTTTTTTAAACCTTCATTACTGAACAAGTACACAGAGATACGAAGTGTTCAGTATAAAGAATTTTAAATTTATACTTTTTGTAAAGGGTATTATATTTAATTTTCAAGCTTGAGTAAATGAAAGGCATAAAATATTAAAATGTATATTTTGTTAAAAATCTGAAATTTTAATTCGTCGATTTCATAACGTTTACTTTTATAATTTTGGTACTGTTAATTTTCACTAAATTATACTCACTGCCACCTGTCGTTATTTAAAACTTGTTTAAAATAAATTGAAAAATAACCTGACGAATTTGTTTGATAGGTAACTCGGAAAAATGTATAGAAATTTGTAGCCACCTACTACACAATTATTTATGTAAACCCTAGGGGGCTGGAAGATTTTGACTTTCGTTGTTACTTAATACTTATTAGTTATTGGATACATTTGCAAAGCCATATTTTTTTTCGATTTAATAATTTATGTTACAAACATTATTATAGATTACGTTTGAGAACCTTTATTTTTCTCGATGTAAATTATTAGTAAACTTGCATCTATAAAATAATATACGTACCTACAGCAAAGACAGAATACTCAAGTAATTAATACGAGTATTTATTAATTATTATTAACCACGATTATTAAAAAAAACAAAACGAGAAGGTACTGAATAAATTATTATTATATTGTAATTATACGACTACTTACTATATATTTCCAGATTTTCTGTAATAATTATCGTCGGTACAACAGCAGCAACATTATGCTATAATATATACCTAAAGGATATTTCGTCATATTATGATTGTGTGCAATATTTAATTGTTGTGTGATTAATCTTTATTGCACGCGTGACAGTAATTTTTTATTGCCCGCCCAATTGAATCGTTGTTATAAATTTTCCATTTTCGGGCATTTATTGGTACAGTATTATTTTGAGTTTTCGTGCGCCCGAAGTAAAATGTAATAAAAGTATAACTATAAAAGTCTAAGAGTATAAACGGCTACCGAATTCCCATAATATAAATTTATATAATAGTGCGTATATTTTATGATAAACTTATTACTTTTATATTATATGATTATGTATAAAAAAACGCTGTAATGGCTATAGTAATAATGCAATATATATATATATAGGTATACTTACTATTGTATAGTTAACAACAATAGTAAAAAATCAGTTTTGGAGGTAGGTACGTCACATAAAAATTGTTTACTTGCGTTTTGCAACAAAATGCGAAGCTCGATTTTCAACACAGTATATTATTATATTATAGGTGGACTTAGGATCTGATATTTGAATCAGCTTTAATAGTCTCATATGGTTTCAAAGCACATTATTACAATAGCTCACATGGGCTTATATTATGCATCCACACTGGGATCCCTCGAGGTGGGGGGGGGGGGGGGGGGTGGTTAGACCTGGAGTATTTTAGGGGACAGTTAAAATGAATTGGTAATTTTTGAAATTTTGATAGGAATACTTATTTTATGTTGAATAATATTTTATGTTATAAATAAAAACGGTGGAAGACATAATAAGCGCCAAAATGAGATAAGAAAAAAAAGTCTTATCGTACAAAAGTGCCAAAATCCTAGGAACCTGTGTGCCACGGTTGATAGATCATTTATCATAGATGTATTTGAGTTGATTGGTTAGGATTATTTCGGTTGATAGATGACTTGTTGTATTATTAAAATTACAAAGTGAAACATATTTATTTATGAACTTTTCTCCTAACAATAGATTAAGGATACCTCAAGAAAGAAATAATGGTTCAATGGAAGAAATACCAGGATAGTAAAGTCTCTGAGCCCTCGAGTTGGCAGAAGACAAAAAAATATCATTTTACTAATCGATTTCGTATCCGGATCGTAATGGGTATGCATTTCGCAAAAAGATGCGAATATCAGCTTATCGGAATCATTACTGCGTTTCCAGCATGGTGTAATTGTTATTTGAGTCACGAAAACGTACAATTATCATCGTTGGAAACGTGTCGGGCTCTTAGACACACGTGTGTGTGTGTGTGTGTGTGTGTGTTATTATATTTTGACATCGCCGCCGACGCCCTTGACATTGACGATGTGTGTACGCGCACAGCATAATATATATATATTATATATATACTAATATCATTACTCGATGCATAATAATAATACATTTGTGTGTACTTCCACCTGCATGCACGCGGCAGATTTCTTCGCATGTACATTATATTCCGCCAGACATGGCACTTTTCTCCGAGTATATAATAATCACACTCACACACACAGATATAATGGGTAACTATAATAATAATGAAAAATATAATAATAATAATAATAATAATAATACAACAACAATATAAAATATTTACCCACACGACAATACATACACTCCGCCGGTATACCTATACACGTGTAGGTAAGTGTGTACAATATATAACGACATCGATACGCTGGTCTCAAGGCCCGGGCAGGCTCCGGTGCAGGAAGTCCATTGAATTTTTTAGCGGACGTTTGTTGAACCGCTACCGCGTATACTGCGAGCGGTCGGTCCGATCGTCGTCGTCGTCGTCGTCGTCGTCGTCGTCGATCGTCGTCGTCGCCCGCAGACATAATGATAGGTTATTATTTATATTATATTATTATACACACAATATAATAATATCGTGAGCGTGTAATAAGATTATATTATTATTATCTTATTATACACGCGTGTAGTGTAGACGGCAGGTAGGTACCCCATACGTATTGTGGTGGGGGCGCACACCGATCGATTTTCGTTTTTTATAATTCACTTATTCGTTTTGATTTTACTTCCTCGACGCGACAAATCTCGACACTGTATCATTATGTTATATTATTATATACATACAAATGTCTCGGTCTACGCTGTATGCGTAACCGTGGTCGCGCGTGTACCTATATAATACGTACATGTATATATGATACCAATTACCAGCTGACACGAACTCGTTTTCTTTAAGCTTGCAGCGGTGTGCGCATATTGTATTATATTATACATCATCATATTGTGGTCGCGTCGTTTCCGTGAGAGATTACGCGTTTTTATTTTTTTACAGTCATTATCACGATACATCGTTTATTCTGTCGTTTTGATCGACGAAATCCACGTCCTTGGCGCGTTCGAAAATACGTTCGGGGCGGGGGGGGGGGCGAACCACCGACCATTATTATCACGAATCGCGCACTCGTTTCCGGCAGTCCAAGCCACGTAGTTACTATATTTATTAATATATATATACACATTAAGCATTTACATATTGTATTTTGTCGGGTAAATTTTACGTTATCATAGCATGCCTACCTGTTGAGTGTGTATAATAAAACGTTTAGCCTTTCCGGTTAATCGAATTTGCATAGAAAAGAATCGCTCGGCAAACGCATGTGCTAAGAATAGAGCAACGAGGTTACCGGTGTGATAGTAGTAGGTACCTATCTACATATTTGCTATCTACACCCACGGAATTCTTCGGTGAGAGATAATTGACTCAATTATTGTAAAATACTGTTTTAGAGGGATCCGTGCTTCCGTATCACTGCAGGCAAAGTTGATTTGTTTGGCGTAGGTGTATATATACCTACTTCCTAAACGTAGACTTTTTTCTTAGATTTTTATCAAGAAAGCAGTCAACAAAATTTGTTTTCCTCATAATAACATTAAACTTATTAAGCCTATACATGGAGATTCGTCAAACAACTCACTTCCTATTTTTTCTTTGATTAAATAAAAATCTGATTTTTGGTATTTTTAAAACTACATTATTGAAGTAAAAAGAGGACGAGTAATGAGTTTGCTGCGTGGATCAGGCTGTATAAAAAATATATATAAGTACATAGAAACACGGAAATGATTAAACCCTGATGGCTCATAAATACACATTTTTTTTTAAATTGAGGAAAAGTTTTTTACAATATATATGATAATCGTAACGAGTAACGTGCACATCATAAAAACGATTTTTTGTTTTAGTATTTAATTATATACGTGGTTTAATTTTTAATAGATTATGTTGTACTTACAATCTACATTCTACATATACCATGTAATTGTTACTTTACCTTATACAATTTGAAATTTTAATTTTGGATATCTTAAAGTGTGGTATACAAGGTTATTGTTCATACTCTATGTATAAATAAATTATTATACGCATTAGATATCAAATTCATTGTTTCCGATTAATTGTAAATTACTTTTTTGAATACTGGGTAGTTAAATGGTTTTAAAAACATACCCATAACGGTCTATTAATAATTAACATAAGCAAGAACACCACTATCAGAATCATAAATTGATTGTTGAATATTGGATGATATTGGATGGTTTTCATTAATTGTATAATAACAATAATCAATGATAAAGTACAAACACAGGACTACAAGAGCACAAGATGCTCGCTTGCAACTAGGTGAAATTGCGTTGAGTGAGTTGTAGTATTGAGCGTATACATCAAACATACTGTTTTTAATATCCTGTCCAAACCTTTTAAATTACAATTAATTGAATCGTCTCACAACTATATCGAATTTGTAAATTTTTAATTGGTACCTGCTCATAATAGCCGTACCATTTAAACATCAAATTTGAAGCTTTTACTATACCTATATTATAGGTGATACAATTGTTGGATTTAAAATAATCACATTTGAATTTCGTATATTAAAAGCTAAAATTTCTTTAGCCTTTGGTGTTACGTATACCTCAACACACGTATAGCGCATTACTTCATTAGCATTGCGACTGCACATAAAGTACTGCAGCAGTGCAGCTCTAACTATTATAGACAGAATAAATTATACCCTTGATGGTTTTTGACTGTACATATTAATATATAATTATACTCTGACACTCTGTAATTGAATATGAATTATCATACATCTGAGGACTGTCATTTTGAATAGATTAATATAATAATATGAACGAGAATAATCGTACTCGATAATTTTATTATACACCAGAAAAGTATGTGAAAATTGTGTCTTTCAAGGCCATGTGGTACAGTGGTACTGCGAAATTATATTTGGTTTTGTACGATATTTTTATCGAGATGACGAATACCCATTATCATTGGTACAATATATATTATACCATAATCTTCCTCTTTCTAATTACGAATCGTTCTTTGAAAGGTCATATTACATGAGTATTGGTTACTAACTATTATAGCTACCATGAATTTTTCGCAATTATGTACTATTGTTGTTGAGAGGTACCTATAATTCACATTTATCAATTATATTATCATTTTGAACGTTTCTATTTTTTTAGTAGATCTTAACGATTAAAATGACAATTAATCCGTAATAATACGATAATGGTTATTTGACCATAATCGCCAATCATTAATTGGCGATTATAATTAATTGCCAATTGAAATTGATTATCTGCAGTTCAGATGACAATCAAAAATTGGTATCGTGGTATAGATTTAGTTAGTAATAATAAAAAAAAAAACTAGAATTAAAAAGAAAACGTTACAAAGTTTTAAATAAATAATTTATAATATTAAGTAATAAATGACAAACAACTAATAAGAGTACAAACATTTACTGCAATAATGATTTACGACGTTATAAAATATAAGACCCAACAACATAGACGATAAGTGATAACTAATAGTTGGTAATAAGTAATAACTAAAATAAGTACTTATAAAACAAAATGTATGATGCCTAATGGGTAATTAATATCACATTGAAATGGCAAAGTATAGCTGTTTCCGAATCAAATGCAGTAAAAATGCGACAAATCTCAAATTAAAATTTTCATGGCCTGATACAGGTAGGTATATTCTATATTTACAATTTAAAAAATGTTCTAATTTCCATCCGAAGATAGTCGCGAATAACTACCGTCAAAAAGTGAACAGGTAGCTATATAGTATAAGTATAGCATACCTGTTGATAGTACCTAATACAGTAATACCTATATACGTATTATTATATAAAAGGAAACACTGCAAAGGTGCGTATATTTGGATTACAAATTTGCATGATTACACGTATTTCACGTCTATAAGGCCAGAGGATGTAATTATTACAAGTCGGACGGATTTACAGAAGTTTCCGTACACAGACACTAATATACGGAACATGTTTCGGTGTTCCCATCGTTCGGGTGATTAATAAAATAGGATTTCGTATACGTTTTATATACAGTCGCTTAAGTATATCGCAGTGTGCCGAAAGGTTGCGTGGGAAAAATGTCGGGGCGACAAACAGAAGCGACGGCGATAGCGGAAAGATTGAAAAGTTTGAAAGAACTCGGTTGATATTTTATTTTTGTTTTACGCTCGGATATATCATATATATAGGTATGTATAATATATGCTGTACGCGTCCTGTAGGACGTCTGCAACTCGTCGTCGTTGTCGTCGGTTTCCTTGCCGAAAAAACTTCGGAGAGTTTCACTGCACACTTAGCGACCGTGATCCAATTTTGAAAACTTTGTATATACACATTTCCGCAAGTGTTCAAAGAAAAGAGAAACATAATAATAATAGTAATAATAATAAATTCGTGTATAACTGACAACTGTACCCCACAAATACATTTTTTTTTAAGTCCATATGGAGTTGAAATAGAAGATATAGGGGTGACATAATATAACCAGAGCTGTACCTACATTTTCATGAAAATTAAAAAAAAATTTTTTTTAGATTTTTTCATTTATATATTTTTTAAGCAATAGACCATTTGTAAATTTAACGCAAAACACCTACCCATTGTATAGTATTATTACAACTGTACTATCAGTATCTTTATTATAATAAGTATCACAGTTTTTGTTATCACTACTAAATACCTACGTAATATTACGAATTTTTAATACTTTATAGATTATAGGTACTATATCCGTTGAAGTTAAAAATGAGACAACTACCTCTACCGGTAGCTAAGTTATAAATGCTTCTCTTATACTCTTAACTCTTATTCTTGCACAAAAAAAGAGAAAAACTTGGAAATATTTTGAAAAATTTTATCGTGAAAAATATGTTCAATGTTGCATACAATTTCAATAAAAAAAAAATGTTCATATGAACATCGTCAAGCTTACAGCTCTAGGTATAACGATAATAGTAAATATTTGCTATTTATCATTTACTGACTAAGGTTTGGGAGCCTATATGGAAATATCAACTTATTTTAACTAGGTTTCATAATGATAACCCAACTTTAAACCATTAAAATTAGTTATTAGTTTATTGCATTTAAAACATGTAAAAAACAAGATAAGTAAAATAATTTTCTACATACAGAAGTAAAAGCTGCAGCTGCCGGGTTAACTAAAACAACAGGTTTAAAATTTAAAACGCAGGAATCATTTATTTTATATCTATAGATTATTAAGTATTTAGGAAGTAGACAGAATAAGTTCAACTAGCAAAATCTATACCGTTTAGGTGTAACCACGATTTAAAATACTTCTTTAAATTTTTAATCACGGGTATACAATATAAACAGTATTATCATAAAAGTATAAAAATATTAGGTATATCAAATATTTTAATTACCTATTCAAATTTCAAAACATATTCCACAATGTCTTATATTTATATTTTATAATGT